CTCTCTCTCTCTCTCTCTGTCTACAGACATTTCTTCAACCTCAGCAGAAACAAGTTCTTCAAATGGTAAAGGCCCACCTGGTGCTGCTAAACTAATGAGTTTAGTTTCTTATTTGTCATGTTGTATTTGGACAGTGAACCTACTTAATGGTTACACTGACCACAAAGTAAAGGTAACAAAATCACCCCAAGTATTGTTGTACTCATGTTAGAGCATCCCTGTTCTCTGGCCTTGCACACAGATGCCTCTTCAGCCTCAGCAGAAGATGCCTCCTCTGGTAATGTTTTTTGACCATCAAATTTCTTAAAATGCATTCAGAGCTTCTCCTCTTTTTATTTGAAAAGTGACCATACATCCATTTCTTCTCTTTGTTCACAGATACATCTTCATCCTCAGCGGAAGTGAAGAGTGGAGAGAAAACTGGTAAAGTCCTTTCCTGTGCTGTTGAGTTGTAACTAATGGCATGTAGGTTTTGTCTTTGGAGTTTTATTTTTTTAATAGCATGTATCAGTTACACATAAAAGGTTGAATTATGACACTTTCACACATGTGTGTACTGTATTAACCCCCATCGTTCTCTCTGTCCCTCATACTCTCTAATCTTTGTTTCTCTTCCTGACTTGGCCACCCTCTACTCTCACATCTTTTTTTCATAAACTAATCCGTTTAACTAGGTTGTTAGAAGATCCCCAGTAGGGAGTTATGTGCAAGATCATTGGCAACTTACCAGGGCTACACCGCTGAAAATGTTCCTTTCTCCCAGCAACTGTTCACTGCCTACAGATCCTCAGGGAGGGGTAGGATCTCACGAGCTCCTCCCTCCTCTGTGGTGGGATGACAATGAGCCTGATCTTGTGGTTGTCTTATGCAGATAATCACAACTACTGAGAGCCCAAGATCCCAACAGCAGTAGTCACAACACTCCACCCTTTCCTCACACATTCTCTTTTTGCCATCCTCTCACCGTGATACTTCCTGACACTTGGAAGAGGTGATACAGATGTCCATTCAATGGTGACTTACCGTTAAAACTTTGACCAGTTATGAATGTCTGCAGTCACCACCAACCACTGCAAAAAGAAGCTTCTCTGATCAAAGCTGATCCATAGGCATACATGTGGACATTTCCAAAAAGAATTGATAGGCACTCCAGGTTCACTTAGCAGTACAACAAAAGTAGCTTCCCCACTGAGACTTTTCACATCTCCAGGTCAAGTTTACAGTACTAGACATAAATCCCCCCCATGCGAGAGGCCAGCTCCCTCTCACTCCCCCACTTGAGCAGGGAGAGATGAGGCATTTATAGATAGAAGGACAGAGACAGGCAGAAAACACAGGATAGCCTCGGGAGGGCCTGGGTCTCAACCCACCAGCTCCTTCTGCCTCGACTACAGGGCTTTTTAAAGGAATGCCAAGGGGAGAGGCAAAAGACCTCCCCCAGCACAGCCAAATGTAGACCATCCCAAACACCTGGTAACCTTACACGTGGTCCAGCCATCCCCTAATGCAGCCCTGCTGTGTAAAGCAAGCTCAGATCTCACTAGAAAACCTTCGTGGGTTCCCACACCACCCAATGAAGACAACCTTGAAGAAGAGGGGGAAACAGAAAGGAGTTGGTTGCCCCCGTCAGTTACGTCACTCTTGTACCAGTGGACATATCTTGCCTGGAAGGCCAGTATTGTAGCCTGCAGGGTTTGCAGCTGAGAAATATTGCTGATGACAGTTCTTCCCCAGAAATCTGCATAGTACCTTCCAACACTATGAAAGCTAGGCGGCAGGGAGGAAGCTTGCAGCTCAGTTACAGCTTTGTTTCCACATGTCTTGCACACAACGTGTGTGGTATCTTCAGCAATAGATATGGTTTTCCTATCTGTAATGTCTATTTATAAGATGCACCTATTTGATGATCATAATGACCACAAAATACATATATCAATGAAAGCCACTTATTTTAAGGCATCTTGTTCTCTGGATTTATACACAGATGCATCGTCAGCCTCAGCAGAAGATACCTCCTCTGGTAATGGTTTTTGACTGTCAAATTTCCTATTAAACAGTCAGAGCTTTTCCTCTATTTGGCAAAGGAATCCAGGTGTGTCTCCTCCTCTCTATCTACAGCTACTTCTTCAAATTCAGCGGAAGCCAGCTCTTCAACTGGTTAGTCTCCCATTGTGATGGTTAACTAATTGGGAAGTTTTCTTATTTGTCTTGTTGTGTTTAGAAAATAAGCTTACTAGTGATCACATTGACCACAAAGCAATGATCAAAAGATACTTGTGTGGGTGTGGGTGTGCACACCCACGCACACACATGTGCATGCACTCATGTGTTGCTCAGATGCTCTTGCACCTGTGTGCACACATATGTAGAGACTGCAGGACAATGTTGGGTATCAGTTTCAGGAGCACCATCCATCT